GTAAATTTTAGATTATATCGTGAGGTATCTTAAAGGATACTTAGAATCATGCAAAAAATCTAGTTAATATATTTAAAATTAAAAAACCTCTACAAAAGTATTTATCTTAGGTGTGGATATAAATCCACTTATTTAAATATAAAATTGTTAATAATACAATTCCACAATTTAACAAAATTATAAACTTAATACTATAATGGCAAAAGCAAAGCTAACTAATCAAAAAAAAAGCACTATTAGCAATAAAATATAGTTAAGTATTGAAAAACGCATCAGAGCTTGGTTAAAACGAGTAACATCAGTAGTATTAATTACTAACGCAGCATAGCTGTAGTTGCAAATTCGATAAACCTTATAATCCGACTAATGGGTGTGGCTAATGCAATATCATTACTCTAAATATACACTCACTTGTTAATCTCTTTAGAGAGAAAAATATTAAAAAATTTAATAAGTAAATTAACATAGAAAGCACTTAAGAAGAGAAAAGGAGCTAAAAAGAGAAGTAAAATAAACTTCAATGCATTTGTTCAGATATTCTATGTGATATGTTCTTTTTTTTTGCATCAGCTATTGTTTCCCTCGCTTTATTCGGGAATAATATAGTTCTCTTTATATCGGTACCTTGCCTTGTATTTTATGGCTTGGTAATGACTTATAACATTATTAAGTCTATAATACATCACACTCAAGAATACAAACACCATTTACGGCTGAAGGTCAAGAAAAAAAGAGCAGTATAAAAAGATATAAAAACATCACGTGTTTATCGAATCATGATATAGTCTTGCCTGAATCTATATTCTTGGTAAAATGGCATCCTTAATAGAAGGATAAAAGAAAAAAATTGACAATAAAATGCTGAGAAAAATCCAGAAAATTAATAGGTAGAAGTAATGAAATTGGAATGACCGATATACAATATGAAAATTCCGCTATACAAGAATTAGATAATTAAAATACACCCAAAATTGGTGTAAATAGTGATAAATAAAATCAAGATTTTGCTCTTGTAGAGCTTGCCATACAATTAAATCACCAAAATGAACCAGAAACCACACCTCGTGAGAGATCATCTTCTACAGTAGGAAGGAATGAAGGAAGTAACAGCTCAACAAAAAGACTCCAACGTCCAAAACAACCAGTTTATGATGAAAGAAGAGGAATAAACTTGGATGCCATTTGATGAATAGTTCCAGAGCATGATGGCATAGAACGAGGAGTATAAAATATTACATGGGTGCGCCAAAACAATAGAGACCGTTCATAGAGCGATACACAGTAATCAAGAGGAACATTTCTAATTGCAATTGAGGTTATAATAGTAGTGCTTATGTGTATAACTTAGCAAAAAGTAACTCTAGGGTAATTATAAACAAAGGTTTATTGGCAAATTCGTTCAATACCTTTGATAT